ATTACACAAAGCAAGAAATCTTAGCGTGTCATTCAACCTGATGGCTTAAATGTATTTTCCCTGCATATCTAATAGCTGACTATTTACTGTAAATGTTGTTTCTGTATTTGTTAATAAGGGTAGTTTTCTTGTAAGACTATTGGCAATCATTTAATAGGAAAAAATTGCATTTTTGTTTATCTTTTATCCTGTAGAACATGTACAGAGCTGTCCAGTGTTAAAATATCAGTTTTATGTTAATATATTGTACTAATTTCAAAGTTATTCTGTTTTATACAGCTCACTGAAGCCGGCTTTTGAACAAAAAACAAACATTATTTAATGCAGTTTACACATTAACAAAATGTCACAATTTCCTCAATGCATACTGTTGTGCTCACTGTTAGTATGGCCACATATTAGAAAGGAGTGGGCGTGACGCATTGCACTTGCGTTCAGTATCACTTCCATTTCATCTGGTAAATGGACGCATGCATCTGCTACTATTAGATGCACTTCCACAAATCAAGCGAAGCCTTACCGAGAATCATTTTCACGTCACATGCTGCACCTGTGACCTATTGTAATTATTTTCCACGAGCAAAATAAGGAAGTGAATTCGAGCATTACAACGAGACCCACGCACTTGAGTTTCACCCAATAAAAAATAAAAATAAAAAAAGGATCTTTTTTTTTTTATTAGTGTAGCTGCTCGTCACTGCACAAATGCTTTAGTTTACTTAGATGCTGGAGAAGAAGGAGAAAAAGCTCCACTGTAGGAGCGAGAGCAGCTTCTCTATCTTGTGATGTCATGTGACAGAAAACTGCTCAGCGTCTCAAATTTATTTATTTTTTTCCTTTGGCAAAATCCCCATGATTAACACTGTGACCGACAAGTGCCACCTCGTCAATTCTGGGTGTGTGGAGGGTTTTCCCTGAATAATATTAGTGAGACAATAAAACATTGCAAGACGATTTTTTTTTACTTTTGAGATTTGACCTCAGCAACTATATCTTTTAAAAAAAAATCCATCAATTTAGACTGAACATAATTTTTGTGAATAAACTTGTCAAAAGCATTTGACGTTTTATGTCTCCGTAAACCTCCATCGGCAAACTGAAGTGCCTTTGTTATCTTTAATTTCTAACTATAAACCTTTAAATTAGGTGCACACGTCAGGCTTTTAAATATTCGCAGTTTATCAGTGGCCGACCAACAACAAACAAAAAAGCTGGATGGACATTTTAAGACTTCAGGAACAGCCTAATAGGATAGAGTGGAATTTATTTTTTGTCATTGCAAAGTGTCCAACAACTTAATCAGACAACAGCTTTTTAAAAAGTGCAGTTAGACATGTTATAATATATCAAAATATAGTAAAAAAAAAAAAAAAATGGATGAGTAGTCCCTCAGTCCAAATACTGGGCTTTAAATTTCCCCGCTCTGCGTGCCCAGCGCCGCCTGATCCAAGCGCAAAAGTGAGCACCAGATTTGGCCTCTTGTGTTTCAGGTTTTATTTTAGGAAAGGAGGGCAGCGAGTCACCGATGCAGGGTGTCAGCCTACATGTTGACACACGGCTATAGAAGGGGGATATAAATAAGACATGAGCCAAGACAGGATGCCTATAGACAGATACAACAGAAAATATTTGCATATTTCTGGAAATGCATGTAGAAGCACATGGCTACAGCACATAGTTTGCATACCTGTCATACACAGAACCAACACAGGTCATACTATTAGCAATCTGGAGGCTGCAACAAGTATCAACGTCCAGGCATTTCGACTCATTGTTTAAAATCTATTTCAATCATATTGTAGGGGAAATGAGTGCAATATACAGCTAGTATGTGCATAAAGTATTTTGTTGCAACTCTTACCTTTCACCCATTAAAATCTCTATCAAGCATTAACATCTAGATGACCCAATTCATTTGTTCGCCTGTGTAACTTTTCTGACTGGCTGCCAGGCAACGATAAAAAGATTAGACATACATGCAAAACGGGCTCTGAAAAAAAAAAAAAAGACTCACACGGAGCACTGACTGACATGAAATGACTAAGTTACAAATATCTGAAATGAATCGGGAGGAGGAAAAGTGACAGGCAGACTTAAAAAAACCAGAGCAAAGTTAAACAATGACAGAAGCGGAGGTCCCTTCAAATCATTAACAACAACCTTGAATGAACCATCCGGCTTGAACTACAACCCTGACTGACAGCCTCTGGTGGCTACTTAGTGCGTTTTGAGGAGGGGAAAAAAAAACATCCAGGTGACTGAGTTCTTGTGCAACAAGGTGACATCATGCCGAGCAGTGACACAGAAACGTCCGTCTTTGCATGGTGCTGTCACATTAACTTCTCTTTCTAATTCCACGCAACCCCTTCAAGATTGCATTACAATGTGTTGCGGGTACTGAGGTCGGGTTAAAAAAACAACCCCATTGTCCTCCTTTCCATGCTCGCATTATCCTGCTAACAATGCGACAGCATGAGTGGACAACAGTATGAACTCAATACTTCCTGTTTTGTTTCAGTGAACAAAAAAAAAAAAGCTTGAAGCTGGGAAGCAATTAAAAGCTGCTTCACAAGACAGGATTAAAAGGATCTTATTACCTGTGGAACAAACTGCTGGAACAAACGTCTCACAATCCCACCTGAGAATATAACTCTTAGATCAACAACAACTAAAGTCGAATAGAAATATCAGTAGCTGTGGCCACAGGGCTACTTAAAAAGGTAATGTAGTTTTATACCATCCTGTACTGACACTTGCAATTTTTAAGGTGCATGTATTAATGAATCAAAACTTAACTTCAAATAGGGATGTGGCTGATCAGCAGTGCTTGAAGTACTGGGTGTGTTCAGTACACCTGGCATCGCTGTTTGAGCGTGGTTACTCATACAGAGCATACCTCTGACCACACCCAGCCACACCAGAGTACACACTAACCTACACACTGAGAAAGCAGAAGTCAGCAAAATTATGGTTTCTTGAAATGTATAAAACTTACCTTCAACACAGGACTATCCCAGGACACACGGAGGTCCTCATTGTTTGCTTACGTGCCTCGGCGGGCACATTATTTGTTCATCAGCCCCGCCATCAATTAAGCACAGAGCTTCCATAAAAAGGCTGAGAGCTGGGCACTCTGCCACCGTGACATTCAGTCGACCCAGTTGACCAGAACGTCGGGACACACATCCTCCTGTTACACTTCCTACTTATGTCCCATAAAAGCTCTGCCCATTAGCTTGAAGAGGAATTTGTCACTCATCTGGTCACTGCTTCCCCTCTCACCTAAAGTACGCTCTATTCCGGGTGAAGCACGTTCACTGTGTGCTCGCTGGCAAACAACAAACAGACAGGCCCTCAGGTGCCCTGGGTTCTCCATAATTACTGGGTGTAAGGGTGCTATTAATTTCACAAAGCACATTACAAACGTATTTTGTATATTTCATGCTAAAATGCATTTGGCTCTTTAATTTGCGAAGCTCTGCATGTCTATACACGTTTCCTAACCTCAGAAAACAGATTCAAATATACTGTAGACACTGATCAGGTTTATCTAGTCACGTATTCATTACCATAAAATGCACAGCTTATGTGGCTAATTTGAAATGTAAGTAGCGTTGTGATTTACAAGTAATCTTGCACTTTGCACAGTATTTTTGCTGTGCTTCAGTAGAACTCCAACCCTCAGGGCCATGAATGCAGCATGATTAGACAAACCGCTGCTTGTCTCACATGCAGCAAAATCTGACACTCAGCATTCCACGAGAAGCACTGATTCAAACAAAAGTGCTTGTAGAAGCACGAAGCAGTACAATTACAGCTCCTTATTTTTGAACTAATTACTTACTGACTATAGTGACTCAAAAACTATTAGTCTTAGTTGTGCCTTAGAACCAAATAGCCCGTAGGTCCACGAGAGGGCAAGCAGCAGATCAGTGGACAACTTGAATATGTATGCAGACTGATGCCTTGATCACATCAGGTGTATACTTCCACCACTAGCGCTCAAAGCTACTATCAAGACCTAACTGTTTGCTGCCTTGTTCAGGACCTCATTCTCTGTTATCCAGTAGAGCTACCTGTGGGATTCTTCATTTGAATAGGAGGTTACCGGCATTTGGACCGATTCCAAAAGAGATGTACAGGAGACGCGTGGCAGCGAGCTACTTTAAAGAGAAGTAACATCTGCTACCTGTTACACAGCACTTTTACTGATGCAGAAGCATGTATCTCAACAACAGCACAGTAAAGCAGTGACCCTGCAGAGATAACTATCACTGAGGGGAAGTGTTTCCTGAAGACAGTCTACTTCACTCTGAATAATGTTCTACAAGACTGTATGGGCTGGGGAGAGATCAGACACTCTCCCACACCTTGAAATGTAACAGCAGGTGTCACTCACGTAGCAATAAATATGTACGATCCCTCACTGGCTTCCCACACAACAAACATACCCACATGAACTTGTTTGAGTCCAAGCTGAAGGTACTTCTTGGAAGGTCTGAGCCTGACATCTGAAGGTAAAATGTGGCCAGTGCTTTAGCAATGTTGATCACTAATGAAGTCTTGCTTACAAAGATCTAACAAACACAATGTTTATATTGCATCCTATTGTAATAAATAACTTTACAGACTGTGTTGCTGAATTTTTAAGTGATAATCAGCGTTTCGGTATTTCTGATTATAAAGTTCGACAGAGACAAAAAGCCCAAAATGGACAGTGGGTACACTTGATAAATTAATATGTGCAATTAAGTTTACAAAATTGCCACAGTTTGAGAAGTGCACTCTGTTTAACATGTTGCTAGGCAGTGGTTTAGGCCTGCAGCCACACTGTGCTATTTCCTGTAAGAGACGAGTGTGAAGTACCAACTTGTCGTTTTACCCCGTGGAAATCAGGTGGGGAGTTCAGCTCAGGTACCGGGTTTAAAAACAGACACCAATCTGCAGCAGACTATACACAAACTTAGACAATCCCCTCCTCAATGGTGTGATTGGCTTACCATGCTGTCAGCCAGTGCTGTAGACAGTGAGTCTGGGCTCTCCTCTTCAGATCCCTCCCTCTCCTCCTGTCTACTGGGCTCTGCCGTGCCAGCGATGTCTCCTGCCAACATAAAAACACACTACCTTCAGAGTTGTGTGTACGTGGGCGGTTGTGGAGTGTGTGTGATTGCGTAAAGGGCTGCATGCCAGACCTTCTTGGTCTAAAGTACAGCATGCAGAATGAAAGCTGGCATTAAACGATAAAGCCGTCGAGGATGTTCAGCATGGATGTGCTTTTTTGTTTTATAGAACTGACCCAACATTAACTCCCAATCAGTGCAATCCAACAGTTGTCCAGAAAGTATCAGGTCAAGGCATAGAGATCGACTGTTTCACTGGTTGCCTGGGACAAGAAGGGCTCTCAACAAATGAGGTCAAGTCAGTGTAAACACGGTGCACACATGCAGTCGTGCAGACAGACATGCACATACATGTTTGTAGTCTGACACCACAATATAAACCCTGGAGCAGATCAGCTGTCCTGACCTGACCTGCTGGAAGAAACTCTGATTTTAACAAACTCAACATTCCTCATAAGATTATCAGTCAAACAGATAAGTGCAGGAGGAACAGACAGGAGACGTGGACAAACTCCACAACTCTCCACACCCAAAACACAAGAAGGTGCTGAGGTGGATACTCTGATCTCCCAACAGCATGTCTGTGAGGTTCTGAAATACTGCAGACACACCAGACTGTGTAAACGATGCCCGAAGCATATTTTTTCACACTTCAAATCTATTTTCTGACATTTTACTCGTGTAACTACAGTGACTGTGCATTGGGGTGGTTCAAAAAAAAAAAAAAAGCAGGTACCTACAGCTCAATACGGTGCCTACACATAGAAACAGACAGAATCTGAATCTGCTGGTAATGTGCTGCTCATGCTGTGCCGCCTGTGCAGACACAGAGCAATATCAGATATCAGTGCCATGCACTGCTACAGCGGCTGCACACATAATAAAGCTTAAACATTCAAAATACATGATTAGAGAGAGTGAAACACTGAGCAGCCTGAAACCAAACACTTACTTCACTAAATGGCTATGAAAAGTAACAGCACTCTTCCTTCCTGTGCATATGCAAGCTCAGTGAAGAGGGAGTGGAGCGCGCTCAGTTTAAGTTTACTATACAGAGAGTAACACACACACAGAGGCAGTCAGACGAAACATGGACACAGTGTTCACCTCCTCCTGTTTAGACTTAACAACAACACATTGCTGGCAAAGACAAAACTTGAAACTGGATAGTAGTTCTTACTGTGCAGTGCTGTCGTCCCACTTCCCTGCGCTTGTTTTTTTTCCCCAGACACACCCCCTTTTGCACACAGCTCCACGAAAAGAAAAAAAAAAAAATTACTATTCACAGTAAACTTCTCTTACCTATACAAGCGCTGAATCAAACTGCGTTCAAACTTCTGTCTACAGTTGAGTTAAAGCTCTGTGCCTTGCAAAGTAGCCGCAGTCTCTGTCTCCCAAACACATACTGGTTGTAATCCAGTGCATGACATACCTCCCTTCCTCCCTCCCTCCCTCACTCACTCACTCCGTCTCTATTGCTTACTCTCCCTCCCACTCTTGAAGTGGCAGGCTTCAGAGAGAAGCCATACTACAGGGCATGGACTCTTAACAATTCACCCACCTACAGCACACTCATGACTCATTTTATCAGAAGGGATGGCTTTTTATTACCAATGACTATAAAAAATCATCACACACACAGGAAATGAGTTAATTGCTTTGAAAAAGGTACAATATTACACTAAAAGAGATACGAGTGTTGGATCGACCGGCTCGCTAAAAATAGAGACAGAATATTCAACTGCACTAAATGTGTGCTAAAAATAAAAGCAATTAGATGTAGGTTAGCAAAAATCTGATGTAAAAATGATTAAGTAAAGACAGTTACAGACAAAAGACCTTTAAAATGTCACTTTGGAGAAAAAAGAACTCAATGGCAACTTGACAGATTATTGCTCTATAAAGCCGTGGGGGCTTACATGTTGGGAACCATCGCAGGTTCACTTTACTTACAAAAAAAATAAGTGAATCTTCAGCTAGATGTTGACCAGCAAGTTTGCTAACTGTTTGGTGTTGGGCAGGTGAAGAACAGCAGGTTAATCGGAGTGTGTTGGCTGAAAACAGAAGCCGGACGTGAACTGATCCGGGCTGATGAAAGAAGTGAGATTGAATATTCTGATATTCAGCATTTTTTTATGATTCTTGGTATCATTATTTTCTGTCATCTGATTCCCAGTAAACTAAATTAAATTGGGTCACTTCAGCCCTGATGCAGTTGCCCACATTTATCTGCAGTCACCATTCGAGCAACGTCCTACCCACACCACTATCTGATCGGTTACACCTCACCAATAATAACCGGTTAGCTCTGAAGGATAAATGCTGAAAACAAAAACAAAGCTACGTTCAATATTGAAGTTTGTTCTAATTTTTTGTTTTCTGATTTAGAGTTTTACTGAAAATGATTATCAGATCCAAATATCTACTTTCGGTCTGTTTGATTGTTGGTAGTCAGCATCAACCCTGATCAAAACAGATCAACCTTTTGACTGAGTCATGCAGTAAACTTGTGGGCTGTGAAACAAAAAACCAAAAGTCGAAAGAGACTAAAATGCTTCGTGGAGCTACAGTGCAATTCTGTGCTTCTAGTTAATACACTTGGCTAGTTATCACACACATTTCCTCAACCAGTATATACTCTGGCAGAAAGTCTCACCATTTGTATCACAGCTATTGTTCTGATCAAAGCGAGTATACAGTTTGGTAGATGAATGTATGACCACTTTGTCTAATAAGTAATCCAGTACCTGCTCCCTTCATTCACTATTTCTGCATATTAAAACACATAACAGTACAGAGCTTATTAAAACTGATACTCATTAGATATTGTACAGTGACATACATGCTGAAACAGGCCAGTTGCGATCATGCTGCTTTTTTTCAGCAGAAAGAAAACAGATCACGAATTGAACCCTGATAATATTTGTGCCGTGAAGTCTTTCCTCTAAATGTGACCCCAGTTTACGGGAAATTGCTTGTAAGAACAAACAATACACCAGAGGCTATAGCCAATGTGCTGTCATATTTTTAATTTGACATTTTTGGCCAAAGCAAACGTCTTGTCAGGATGCCAGAACTGAGATTCCCCACACAGTACAGTGTGTCCTCTACAAAGAGGTGAGGAGGGAAATGTTACTATTAATTGCAGGTAGCAGCCACACCTTTTACAGCATGTGCGTGTGAAATCCTGTGATCAGATAATTAAAAAGACTCAATTACTATAACAATTTTAAACCATATTAGTTAAAAAATGTTGTTTTTTTTTAATGATAGAATTCAAATATCACAAAAGCTAAAGACTGCTAATACAAGATCTACCAAAACTTTGCCTAAAATATGGTAAATGATCAAATTACAAGTAAATTAAAATCAGCAACTGTCTCCTGAATGAGTAAAGACATGCATCAGCTGTGCAGTCATGACACATTTCAAGCCTGTACCACAGACACATTTAGGTTAGTGCCATCAATGTATTGAGCTTTAAAACGCAGCAAAATTCCGTTACCGCAGTACATTGTTCAGCCGATTTGGTACGCCCGCTGGATACGTTCAGTCTCTCCTTAAATATTAAGAAGATCATAAAAACATATCAGATCTTTCCACGCTGAGTCTCCATGTTCTCCCCGTGCAGCGTGGGTTCTCTCCAGGTTGTCTGGCTTCCTCCCACACAGTCCAGAAACATGTTGAGGTTAATTGGTGATTCTAAATTGTCCACAGGTGTGGATGTGAGTGTGCTTGGTTGTCTGTCTCTAAGTGTAGCCCTGTGATAGACTGGTGACCTGTCCAGGGTGTCCCCTGCCTTCACCCTGAGTCAGCTGGGATACCCACGACCCTAGCAAGGATTAAGCGGTGAATAGACAATGGAAAGGTGGATGGATAAAAACATGCTAGAAATCAAAAGAAATTCTTGAATTTAATCAGTCATGTTCGATCTTCAAATCCAGTAGCTTCCCCTTCACATGAATTTGGTGGTGGTTTGATTTCTAAGTACAACTACCAACAATTATTTTGTTAAAGGCAAATATGTGACGCTGTGGTTTTCTCAGATCTGGTCATTTGATGTTTTTCTGCATCACACATGAAGGAAAATAAACTCTCTTTGGGTTGTGGACTGCTGGTCTCATAAAACAAGCGAATCAAAATAGATCGCCACAGGCTGTGGGAGATTATATTTGGCGTTTTTCATTAAACAAAATGATTCATTGATTTGTCTAGAAAATAATGTGCAGCTCGAGCAAATAACACACGGCTGCAGCTCTGTTTCAAAGAAATGACAGCCCAGCAATTCAGAGGCGATTCCAATAAATACTAAAACTCATAAACACGTGCAAACTGAGATAAACCTGCCATTCAGGCAACAGGAAACTAATCAGTAACTACTTTGACAATCCAGTAATCTTGTAAGTCAAATAAAAATGGCAGCTATCTGCCAACGTCAGCTCGTCAACTGGGAGATACCGATGTAGTCTGACTCATTGGATGTAGGCTGTAATTATTATCAGCCTGCTATTGTCGCGCTATCTACGCGTTACTGTTTTCAAAATCCCTTTCGCTATGGGAAGCAACCTACACGCTTGCCTATGTTTTGCATGATGTAATAATCCGCTATTTTTTTCAGTGAACTATGCATTTTAATGACAGTGCTTGTCTTCATGCATGCAAATGTTCCACCAATACTATTCCTCCAATGCTATTTTGATGAAACACACCATCCAATTCTTTGCAAGACGCTTGTAATTGGTTTAAAGAAATATCAACATGCCAGAAAGCTCTTTTACCCCCCTATAACCGAATGATCCAGACTATTCTACACAGAGAATAGTCTGGCTGTGCTCAAGTAGTCTTATGTGATGGCAAACTGAACAGGTTTGGATTGCTGAAATAATAGTACCATAGAGTACTGAAATAAACATCCATCCATTATCTATACAC